GGACCCAACATTGTGGTGGCCTTGTGCCTGGAACAGTAGCTGCCCCAAAGATGCCACCAGTTGCCACTTGCCACACCAGATTGTCATGGATGGCTGTTCCTGTTAATTACCCCCATGATCAATGGAAGGGCAGGCGGCAGAAGGAGCTCCCTGCCCGCACCATTGCTGCCTGCTTCCTGGACCACACCTCACCAGCTGTTTCCTCTCCCCACACAGGGGCAGTTGACGTGGACGAGTGCTCAGAGGGCACAGATGACTGCCACATTGATGCCATCTGCCAGAACACGCCCAAGTCCTACAAATGTCTCTGCAAGCCAGGCTACAAGGGGGAAGGCAGGCAGTGTGAAGGTGAGTCCAGCCCAGCCCTCTTGGCCAGACCCTGTGGCTGCCACAGCCTCTGCAGGTGGCCAGTGCCTGCCCCATGCAATGCCAGCAGGTGCCCCCGCCCCATGAGTGCCAGCAGCACAGGCCTCTCTCGGCCTTGGAAGGGTGGCTGTGGGCTTCCTGGGAACCTGGGCTGCTTCCCTGGAGGGTGGAATTTGCAGTCATGGGGTGACTAACTCTCCTTGGGTTTGAAACTTTTTGTTTTGTTTTAAAAGAAACTGAGATAAAGCACTGAATGATGTATTTGTCCATCTGTCCCTGACTGGATATGTGTGAGGTAAAAGACTGGGATGGCCTCCCCCAAGGTCCCTAACTTCAAATCCAAAACCACCCTGGGGGGCCCGTCACTTCCTTAGAAGACCTGCTCAGTAGCAGCCACAGTACTGCAGGCTGGCTGGGCACAGAAGCTTGGCAGAGCCTGGTGGATTTGTGCTATCTGTCTGTCTGTCCAGCCTTCCCTCTCTGCACCTGGGGTGCTGGTGTGACTGTCTGGCACTGGAAACTGCCCCCCTAGCAAGCTGACTCAGAAAGAAAAGAGCAGTCCTGGCTGTCTTTGAAGCCCAGATTCTCCAAACTAGACAGACCCTCTGGGATCATTCACCCAGGAAGGAATGTGTGGTCATTCTGACTCCGTGGGGCTGGGGCTGGGCCTGGCACCAGGGGCCTGGAAACAGCTCTTTCCATGACTAATGTGCACCCCTGGGGGAGAATTGTGGATCCAGATCTTCCCTGTCTGTCCCCACATTATAGCTGCAGAAAACTGAGGCTTAGAGAAGAGCAGCATCTTCTGCAGGGTCCCTGGGTTCCACGGGGCAGAATGAGTAGTAACCCCCAGGTCTCTTAGTTCCCACCCCACAGCTCTCTGGCATCGCATTCTCTTCTCCCTGGGCCCTCCCAGCTTACTTTTCCAAAGTGTGATTTGTGTTAGATGAGCACACACAGCAATAAGGTGGCTGCTGTCCCTTCTGCCCGAGGCTTCCCGGAAGCTGGCGTTTTGTAGGCGGTGCAGCTATGCCTTCTTGGGATGCTGACACTGTTTATCCATCTCACGTGTTGGGCATCCACATAAGGCTGAGTGCTGGATGGACATCGTCCTGGATGGTGCCTGGCTTTGCTGGCCTTGCTCAGGGCCCAGGAGCCTGACGGGGCAGCTGGCGCCCACCCACAGACCTCTGAAGAAGGCCAGGCTAGGGGCAGATAGAGCAGGTTGTGAGCAAGAAGCTTGGGGGCATGGACTGGCCAGCTGCTGATGGAGCCTAGAGGCCCCAAGTGGCACATGCAAGACTCTGTGTGACCATTTTCTGACCCTCTGCTCCGCTCTCCAGGCCCAGGGCTCCGGCAAGGAGGGCCAAGGATGACCCTGTCTCGGAGGGTGTAAGCCACTACCCCAGTTGTTCCTCCCCCAGCCCGGCTCTGTAGGCCCTTGTTGTGTCCCCTGCCAGGAGGCCCATGGTTTGTCTCCCACCTGTTTCCCTGAAGCCCTGCAGAGTCTGGCTTTAGTGGTCCATCCTGCTGGTGCCTGGGTCAGGACGCAGGCTCGCGGCTTGGTGGGAGGAAGAGAAATGACAAGCATGTGGAAGGGCTTTGGAAACTGCCAGATGCTACTCTACCTGGCCACCTGGCCACCTCTGCCCCTCATCTCCTGACACGGTGAAGAGCACTTGTATCCTGGCCACACACACATACAACCAGGACATTCCATGTTTGGAGCCCCAGCTCCAGTTTTCCACCCTTCGTGTCCTTGTTAATTCCTAATCATGCTTTACTTGGCCTTCTCTGGGAAACCTTGCCTGATACCTTCACTTCCACACAGTTACTTATGCACATGTGCACATGTGCACATGCACGCATGCACACGGAGCTACGTTAAGTACCTACTCTGCTCCCAGGTGCTTCCCTCCATCATAGCACTTCTGACTTTAGATTATAAGTATGTGTCTTGCACTTCCACTGGACTGTGAGCTTAGTTATTGAGGGCCTGCCATGGGCTCAGTGTTGGGCCACCATACTGAGCTGTCAAACTTGGGCTCACAGGGAGCTCCTGGATCACAAAGAGCCTTTCACGCCTGTCCCTGCGGTCCCAGCTCTTGGGGCAGGACCTGGCACTAGCAGGGGTGTGCAGACAGTGTTTGGTCTGAGCTGGCTGTCTTCTGCCCAGACCAGAGTTCACAGTAGACAGTAGATGAGCAGCCTTTGGGGTGCCATGGAGGGGGTGGGAGGGTGGCATAGGAGGTGTGGAGGGCTTGTTCTCACCCTGGTGTCATTTCAACACTATCTAATGAGAGAGGAAAGAAGGAACGGGCCTCTGCTTGGAACCCTGGGCTGCAGCCCCCCTCTAATGTGAAAATTTGGGGGGTCATTTACATTCCTGAGCCTCAGTTTCTCCTTTGGATATATGGACCCAAAATATCCCCTGCCATAGGTTGTCCCAACAATTGAACAAAATGCGTGTGGTTTACCGGGGCTCAGCCAACCACCATGCCTGGTCCATGCTAGGCACTCAATGTGTAATACGTACTCAGCGTACAGGTGATGACACATGGTTGCCACCACCATTGTCGTTCTCTGATCTCGCTACCATCACAGTGCTTTCAGGACCAAATGACGCCAAGAATGGTGAAGACTTTTGGGAATCTCTCAGTCCTACACACCTCAGAGGTGGCAGTTACTGCACAACCTTGTCCCTCCCCTCACGGAGCTTACAGTCTGGGTCGGGCCGCATGGGCTGACTTACAAGGCAGGGGAAATTCTTAATGCAACAGGAAGATCGTACATGTGGTAAATCAGCACTTGCTGAGTTTCCATGTTAACAGGATGGAGAATAACTGTCTGGAACCGAGGAGAGGATGCCATTTGGCTACCCACTCCCTAAGCCCTCTGTGAGTGAGTGCTGGCACGGCTTCTGAGGACCTGAGTGGACACTGTCCCACTTGCACTGAGGTTTCCTCAACCCTGGGGACCTACCTACAGTCACCAGTCAGAATTGATGGAGACTGCTAAAGTCTTCACCCCAGGCCCACCAGATTCCCCCTCCCATGAGGAAGACCATGCAGAGACTTCTGGAGGCTTTGACATCTGGAGGGGCTGGCAGGCTACATGCAGTGGTGGCCTGAGGGAGCTCGGAAATAATCCAGATGTTCACTTTCCTGGTTTACAGTTGCAGAATGGAGGCCTGGGAGGGCAACCGTGTTGCCTGAGCTGGGACTAAAGCCCAGGCTTGGTGCGCCCACTTCTCCACACTGCATTTCTGCAAGTAGGCATTGCTATCTGTGGCTCTGCTATGGGAAGAGGGAATGAGCAGCGAGTGTACATTGCAGCATTGTGGTTGAAGCATGGGCTTTGGGGCCAGACTACTAAGTTCAAATCCTGCCTGTGTAGGTTACTTGGACATTTGTTTGTCTGTAAAACAGAGACAATCATAGGATCTACTTTCATAGAAATAGTGAGAGAATTAGTTGAGTCAGCACATAGGGAGCATTTGAACATAACTTGGTACATAGACACACTCTGTAAGCATTAGCTGCTATTACTGCGATTGTGATGGTGGTGCTGATGGCGCTGACGCTGATGGTGATGTTAATAAAGATGACATTGTGGTGACAGCAATGTTGAGGAAGTGGATGAGGATGCTGATGATAAAAGTGATGGTGGTGGTGGTGATACTGATTATGTTAATAATGTTGATAATGATATGCTGTTCGACATATGAAAAGCAGTGAAACTTTATCTTTTTTGCAACAGTTCCAGGGGTCTAAAATGTCTAGGAAATGGGGTGTTCTGGTTCAGTTCATTGACTATTCAAAGAAACTGTATGCATCTATCCATATTCCCATAGAGATGAACAGACATGGACATCATTCACTGACGACCATTCACCAAGAGTGTGCAAGAAAAATTACAAGTGACAAAAGCTTTCCTTTGTTCCTTTGTTCCACTAAACCTACTAAAGGATGGCAGATATGCTGCCCCCTTCTTCCCAGCAGACATCAATAATCGATCACAGCACCCTCCAGACGGCCACTTCCACTTCAGATGAAAGCTGTTTTCCTTCCCTGGGCCACTTTTATCTTTAGGTCCTGAGCCTGTATGGGGCTGTGCAAAGACTGGGGGTGGAATCTCCTGACACGGTGAAGAGCACTTGTATCCTGGCCACACACACATACAACCAGGACATTCCATGTTTGGAGCCCCAGCTCCAGTTTTCCACCCTTCGTGTCCTTGTTAATTCCTAATCATGCTTTACTTGGCCTTCTCTGGGAAACCTTGCCTGATACCTTCACTTCCACACAGTTACTTATGCACATGTGCACATGTGCACATGCACGCATGCACACGGAGCTACATTAAGTACCTACTCTGCTCCCAGGTGCTTCCCTCCATCATAGCACTTCTGACTTTAGATTATAAGTATGTGTCTTGCACTTCCACTGGACTGTGAGCTTAGTTATTGAGGGCCTGCCATGGGCTCAGTGTTGGGCCACCATACTGAGCTGTCAAACTTGGGCTCACAGGGAGCTCCTGGATCACAAAGAGCCTTTCACGCCTGTCCCTGCGGTCCCAGCTCTTGGGGCAGGACCTGGCACTAGCAGGGGTGTGCAGACAGTGTTTGGTCTGAGCTGGCTGTCTTCTGCCCAGACCAGAGTTCACAGTAGACAGTAGATGAGCAGCCTTTGGGGTGCCATGGAGGGGGTGGGAGGGTGGCATAGGAGGTGTGGAGGGCTTGTTCTCACCCTGGTGTCATTTCAACACTATCTAATGAGAGAGGAAAGAAGGAACGGGCCTCTGCTTGGAACCCTGGGCTGCAGCCCCCCTCTAATGTGAAAATTTGGGGGGTCATTTACATTCCTGAGCCTCAGTTTCTCCTTTGGATATATGGACCCAAAATATCCCCTGCCATAGGTTGTCCCAACAATTGAACAAAATGCGTGTGGTTTACCGGGGCTCAGCCAACCACCATGCCTGGT